TCCCGAGTCTGGTCATTCTGTCACACATTCTGCTTGGGGAATCAGCACAGGAGCCAGTGAAATCAGGTGAATACGGGGTTTATTTCGGGGAAACACACCAGGGCTGTGGAGTCGGAGTCGAGGAGTCGGAGTCGGTTAACTTTTTGCCGACTCCGACTCCAGGTACCCAAAATTGTCTCCGACTCCGACTCCTCGACTCCGACTCCACAGCCCTGGTGTGTTTCCCCGAAATAAACCCCGTATTCACCTGATTTCACTGGCTCCTGTGCTGATTCCCCAAGCAGAATGTGTGACAGAATGACCAGACTCGGGAAACATACCCACACACGGACTTAAATACACAAGACTAATTAACACAACTAGAAACAGCTGACGACACAGGGATTCCACACGAGGTAGCGAGGGGGGCATGGCACACAGGAGGGTCGGCACGAGCAGGGCATGACCCATATTTACTTATGCGTGCAGATTTGAGTACCCTTAAAATGATGTTGAATAACGACTTACGAACATTTCAAGTTACAAACAGCCAATCGGAACACATCTCATTAGTAAGTAGAGTAGCGTCTGTATGTAGTGGGCTAAATGTACACTTATTAAAATGGAGTGTGGTCAAAATGAAAAGCAAATATACAACTACAACTATACAATATAGAAAAGAATTTCAAACAGAAGTCTCAAAATTAAAGACAAAAAGAAAACAGGCCTATGCATGTGTCATAGGAGCTATGAAGCAGAAGTGCTTCACTATCCCATGTCCACTGAAAGACAAGCAACAAGCGGGACAGTTCTATTGGCGGAAATAAAAACATGAAAGCATGAAAAAACAATCAATGAATAATATGTGGTGAAACAAGAGGCTGAGGCTCTCATTCTTCACATGCCCTTTTGCCCAGCCTTACCGCTCTCCCTCATTTATGTTTCCTTTTCGGACATGATCAACAGATTGGGGATGATATATACAGAATATTCAGCAGATAAAATTGATTCTGATCATTCGGATGCATGTTACTACAAGAGAAAAACTACAGAGCCACAGGCTAACCTGAGTCATACCTAGTTTCTGACTCATTACTAATTTGCTTGTTTTCTCTCCACAAGTACACAAGGCAAACCCATTAAAGGACACAATCCCAAACACACGTTAGCAGATATCCAAGTCACTAGAGAATCAGAGAGCCTTACTTTAGCCAAAGCCAGTAACTACTCCTATGATTTAAAAATTTCCGCAACCCCAAAGACATATCGTTCAACATACGAGGAGAGAGTACAATTAGCTGGTGGAGAGGGCTTCAAACATACTACATGAGGAGATAATGAGTGTTAATACCAAGCACTGCGCTATAATTTAGAGGTGCTCAAAGACAATAATGTGCAAAGGGCAGGGGACCACTTGGGATGATGTAAGGGCAGGAGGGGTACTCCAACAACAAAAAAAGATTATAATCCATCTCTCTGCTTTCTCCATCCAAGTTCACTCCACCTTCTGAGCTGAACCACTTAAAAACATGCAGCCAATGACAAAACAGTACAAGGAAGATTCCCATGTACCAGAAAATGTTAGACTCATGTTTAAATGTCACTTTCCTAAGCAATGAGAGGCAGCTGGAACAGCCAGCAGACAAAGGGAGCTCGGTCCTCAGACTGTGGGGAATATCACCGTACAGTGGAAGAGTGTTTTGGTCCACGGCAGACATTTCAAGAATGTTTAGATACAGCTGACGTATTAACCAAAACCAAGAAGGTCCTATTTATAGATCCTGAAACTTTGCGTGGTCGTTTAGCTTTCGCAAAAGGGAAAAAAGCTTAGGGGAAAAAAATTTAATATAAATAAAATTTTATATATATATAAAAACAACCAGCTCAAAAAAAAATTAGCTAGAACTCGATCTGAATCTCAGAAGTCAAACCGTGAACGGCAACCTAAGATAACTGAAATGAGTCACGCGGCACGTCTCTCAGCTGAAACAAAGTTCTGAACGGATTAAATCTGAGGTACCACTGTGTGTGTGTGTGTGTGTGTGTGTGTGTGTGTGTGTGTGTGTGTGTGTGTGTGTATATAAATATATATATATAAAAACAACAGGTTCCAACAGCTTCCACTAAAAAGGCACAATGCTGAGGAGTGGGGTAAGTAAGAACCAGTACGGGACAGACAGAAGCACTTGATGAAAGGGAATGCCAGTGACCTTTTACTCATAGCTGCAGTCCTTCCAATTTATGGCCATGGTACAGCAGTGCAAACGTTGCCGCTCTGTCAAGCATACTGGTAATACTGTGCTGCCAGTGAAGCAGGGAGCCCCAGTGATCTGACCATTTCTGAAGACCATGCACAGGTTAACAAGACAGACAGGACAGCTGCATGGCTCCAGTGCGCTACCTGGACACCCCACAAGGCTGACCCCATAAAGCAGACTTAGGGCTGCAAAAGCACTACTAGTACTACTCAGCAATTCAGAAGCCATGACAACCCAGAACAACAAAGGTGTCCTATTAACATGGATAAATATGACATATGGAAGATACTTTTTTGAATAAATGGAGAAACAGAAGAGCCGGAAGGCCTGTACTTTATTCATACAAATTTCTAAGTGCCACTTAAACAATACAGGCATAATCCCATCTGTTATTAAGGCTAAAACCAAAGTACAAGGAGGGTGTGTGTCGCAAATGGATCAAGGCTTAATTAATCAAGTCCCTAAGCTCTAGTGTGTGCCCAGTTCTCAGAGATTACCAGCTTCTCTCTGCAGAGGTCAAAACCAGCAAGTGAGACAGGCTAAGGTCAAGGGGATCAGGCAGCTGCACTGAAACATGCAAGATATGATCCAACACAAGCTGCTGAGAAACTGCACACCTCCAAGCATACAAAATATGCTAAATAATACTTTTCTGCACATTTTAGCAACCACATCACATTATAATGTCCAGGCAGTGCCCCCTCCAACTGTGACAGTCCCACTGGAAACTAATTCAGTGCTGATAAGAATATCCACTGCTGCGCTAGAAACTGTGCTATAAACAGCACACATGGGCTGAGGTCATTTCATTAATGACTTTATTTATCAATGACAAAATTACTACATAAATCAAAAATAAATGGACTTTCCCTGTCCATAGTTCTATATTCGGCATAGTTAACAGCAAATGTAGGCTATATAAAAATAAAGAGCAACAATGCTCAAACGTGCATTTACGCATTAAAGTTTGTCTGCTTTATAAGCACAGTGAATGTGCACAATTTACAATTATTAAATTTGCAATGCTTGCTAACTTTATGCTATGGCTATCAATCAATAAAGCACAGAAAACTGCACGAATAGTTTTTTTAATCACATGTAACATAAAAATTTACAATCAAAAATGTACATTATGAATCCCTAAATGAATGTAACATTGACACAAAGGGGAGTATATGGGTCATTCTCATGAACTCATTACTATGACACATCAGCTTTCTCTACTTCTTAAAATTAGTTTGAAGCAGATTTAAATTATAGGGATGCACCAACGTTTTAGTCCCAAAACCGATAATGAAGGCTTTGGGTAACAGGCAACATCAATCTGATACCAATCTTTAGAAGCAGAAGTAGAATGCCTATATTGCCATGGCACATCTCTTGCACAATTTAATTTGCAGAGCAGTAACCAGGATGTACATATATCTAGTTATCACAAACGTAAGAAAAATAAAACACACAATTAAAAAAGTAAAGCATTATAGATAAATATTAATATGAACAGATGT